TAGATATAGCTGAACAGCTTATAAGGGTTAATACAGAATGTGTGCCCAGGTGTGGCTTGTCCAAACAAAATTTAAAGTCAGAACATTTTATATAATTTCTTTAAAATAAGTCTACATAATATTTTAGAGGACCTCAGAGATAAAGGAACTGAGTTTTGGGACATTGATTTGAAACAGGGACAGTTAGATATTCTGCTGAAGACATCACAGTCACAGTGTATGACGGCTCAAGAGGCAACGCGCATGTAACTGAATTTGTCAGAGCTTGTCCTTATGTTCTTACCAGATGGAGCAGAGATCCTCCTGAGGAAATCACTGTGTTCAGGTCAGCTCCCTCCTTCAGCAGCCTCAGCACTGGAACAAAAGAAAAAGCAATGAGGGATGAATATATTTGCAAAATGAACACTTCTCAGTGACCCTCTCTGCACACAAACACATAGTGAGGAAATATGATGAATTATTGCAATCCCTACAGACACACATACGGGCTCTGTTCCAAAACCTAGTGTGCTGCCTAGCTGTCTACTGCCTACATATAGGCGCCAACCTTACAAGGCCATATTCTTATGGAAATGGAACCTCACAAGTGACTGATTTATAACACGCTACATCAAGAGAAACAAACAGTGCTACTCAAAAAAGTGGAGGAGTTTGGTGTTAGCATGTTGCTAAGCTAACAAACATATAGGGGGAGAGAGGGGCAAAGTGAGCCAGTGGGTAAACTGACCCACCCCCTGTATCTAGGCAACCCTACAGATTTTTAGCCATGTGACCACAAATCCAGGAAGCAACCATCATTTCAATTTGGCTGTGGTGGAGAGAAGCACATGTTAAAGTGTTAAGTATGATTTTTTTTTTTTCACAAAAAAACAGTTTTTATCCTATCAATGTAAAGTTTATACATGTCAAATATAATGGCTGTTATGTCAAAGCAAATTTATCCAGGCCTAAATATTTATACCATACATATTGGTGATAGGCTAATGTATAAAACCATGTGAATGATTTAGCTAAAGATTAGCCTGAATTACTAAGCCAGGCAGTTTTTCCAAAAATGGTGGCTGTGGGGCAAAGTGAACCAAATGCTGTGGGGTAAACTCAACCAGCGGTTCAACTTACCCCACCATGAGGCACTGAAGACACTGAATTTGTTTAGTTAAAAAAAATTATTTCAGTGTAGTATCACACAACTGATTTGATTATTTCATATTTTAAACATTTTAGAAAAGATATAATGCCAAGACATTATAAGAGGAAGACCAAATGGGGCTCAACACCCCTTGAGGACATGGAGAGAGCAGCAAATGATGTAAAGGGTGGCAAATCCATCAGAGCTGTGGCAAAAGAAAAAAATATTGACAGGTCAACCTTACGTAGATATATAAAAAAGAAGGAAGGACAGGAAGTGAAAACCACTGGTTACAGTGGAACAGCAGAGGCAAAGAGGGACTTTACAGAGGAGCTAGAGAAGGAGCTTGCAGACCACATCAAGAAGCTGGCTGACCAGTTCCACGGCCTTACCCCCAAAAATGTTGTGAATTGGCATTTGAACTGGCAGACAGAAACAATATTCCTGTCCCCAACAACTGGAAAGAGAAGGGTTTAGCCGGTAGGATGTGCAAGACATCACATAATTCAGTAGCTCAACTAAGTTTAACTGATCTTGTGTAGCTAAACATAGCATCTTGATATAATTAATTATTTTTAGGTCAAGATTGGTTCAATAATTTCAAAGCATGTCACCATCTCTTCCTGCCGTATACCTGAAGCAACATCTGTGGGAAGGGCTTCAGCCTTCAATAAAACTAAAGTGGAGGAGTTCTTTAACAATCTGTCAAAAGTGATGGACAGGTGAGAGAACACATTAGATTACATTTATAACAATAACTGAACACAACAGATAAGTACATATACAAAGACTGGCACATGTGTTTTTCTACTAGCTGTATTTACAAGGATATCAAGTGAGGGCTGTTTAGTTGCTTCATGCATCAACGGCAAGGTTTAGGCACTCTGATTCCAGTTTGGCTCTTTCATGTTCTGTCTTTGTTTTATAGGCATAAATTCCCTCCAAACATGATTTACAATGTTGACGAAACGGGTGTCACAACAGTGCAAGACACCAAAGCAGGAAGTGGCAGAGAAAGGAAAAAAAACAAGTGGGTGCCATCACATCTGCTGAAAGAGGAGAGCTTGTGACTGTGGTCTGTGCCGTCAATGCTACAGGGAATGCAGTCCCTCCTATGTTTATCTTCCCACAGGTTTGATATAAAGAACATTTCATCACAGGAGCACATCAAGGATCAATTGGTACATCCACCAGATCTGGCTGGATAAATGAAGACACCTTTGCTGAGTTCCTTGAACATAGTTCAGCACACCAACTGCTCCTCTGACCATCCCATGTTGCTAATCCTTGATAACCATGAGGCCCACATTTCACTGAGGGCAGTGGATATAGCAAAGAAAAAGGGTATTGTTCTGCTCACCATTCCACCCCACACGTCCCATCGCTTACAGCCTCTGGACAAGAGCATTTATGGTCCATTTAAGACCTATTACAACAAAGCTCTTGATGGTTGGATGAGAACTAACCCAGGCAAAACAGCCACCATATACCAGATCCCTGGATGTGTCAATGAGGCTTTCATGTTAGCGATGACACCACAGAATATAACTTCTGGATGCAGGTCCTTGGGGATTTCTCCTTACAACATAGATATTTTCTCTGATCAGGAGTTTGAGCCATCCATGGTAACAGACAGGCCAGCCCCTGAGCTACAGTCTGCTGCTGCAGATGATCTACCAATTGCTTCAACCAGCATCACTGCTGAGCTGCTTTCACCATGCCTCACACATGGATGTGCTTCACCAAGTGAAACAGATTTGAATCCCAGCCACACTTCATACGTTTCTGCAGAAGAAATTCTACCCCTACCCAAAAGTATGCCCAGGACACAAACAAAGAGAAAGTGTGTGAAGTCAAGAATCCTAACTGATACACCTGAAAAGAAAGCAATTGAAATGGCTCATGAAGAAAGAAAAAATAAACAGCAGGGAAAAAAGCAAAAGCAACATCAAAGATAAAGGAAAGCTCAAGAAAAGACTATTTTCAGGCGCTGCGTAATATCATTGCGCCTGCTGCACCCATGGTACGGCAGCAAAGTTCCTTGATTATTACGTCGGAATAAGAGTATAGTTCCTAGCCATATCGGCCTAGAAAATCGCAACTTTTCATTTTCCGTCGGTCTTCGTACACGATGCAACTACAGAAGAGTCAAGTTTTAAATAGAAAAAATATTGAAACTCTTTGGTCATTTTTGAGCGAGATGCTAATGGTCTAATCAGATTCAATGATCTATGCTAAGCTGCAGCTAAAAGTGCTACCACCAGACCCGGAGATCGGCTGAATGGATTCGAAAACTGTAAAACTCAACTGTTTAACTCTAGGGGAGTTGGAAAATGAGCCTATTTTCAAAAATAGTGGAGCGTTCCTTTAAGAAAAGTGTGAATTTTTAAACTATGTTCAGGTTTAAACTAAAAGAAAAAGTCAGTTTACCCCACATGGCTCAGTTTACCCATTCACACTGATCAACTTACCCCTCAGCTGGGGCAAGTTGAGCCACAAGAGCACTTTTTCTTTTTGAGAAGCCACATTTTCAAAGCCCTTTGTTATTAAGGCATTCTTATCATTTAATTTGACAGGAGACATCCTGAAATAAAGGTTGATGTTTTTGTTTGACTTCAGTCTCATTTTTTCATGCAGAGAAGGCAACACATGTAAAAATTGGCTCATCTTACCCCACTCTCCCCCTACGCATACAAACACAGGATAAAAAAAAAACTACTGAACTAATATTAAATTGAACTATTATTGGTTTTTGCTGGTTCTGAATGCCTTATAACTGTTATTTTTCAAACATAATAATAGTACTATCTTGTAAAAGTAGTTATCTCCCTGTATTCGCCATCTTGGACAGATTTTTCACAGAGCTCATTCTCTATTAAATATACAGCCAAAACAAGGTTTCTCAGAACACAAAGATCAAAAATAGCACTAGCCTAGTGTTTACTCTATAAACAAGGATCAAACTTACAGCCTTTGTCATTATTCTTAACCATCAGACTGTTGACAGTCCTTAACTCAATCTCTGTGACAGTGTCTAGTGCATATCGTCAGTCTCATCCTGTCTTTCCCTATGGTCTGGACTCAAGTGCACTACATCACACACAGCTAAGCCCCACTGACTTTAATTACTGAAGAACCTATCAGACACTTTACATCAATTCCCACCAAAATCCAGCATAAAAAGCACTCCTAGCATGGCATTTACTGTAAATGAGCACATTAATGAAGGAAAGGGACGTTGGATGAAAAAACACGCATACCAGCACTCACACAAATGTTGGTAAATTCCTGAGGGATTTTTCAGCTCCATAGCGTGACAACATACTAGTCTAGAATTGTGTCTCAAACACGCTCCGTAGGGAACAAATCTGCTTACATAGAGAAATGAAAGAGGTATGACAGAGGCCCATATGATCTCAGCTGAGATCACTAAATCACTAAAGAGTGAAGACAAGACAGATGTGCGCACAAAAACAACAACAAAAATGTTAACATCAGCAGGTTAGCCTTCTGAGGCTATCTGGCAACAACTCAGGCATATCGAAAGGAATATCTTCAAAGGAACATATTTAAAGAAATGAACAAAGGGAAGAGGACAAAATTGTCAAGCAAAGGCCTGTTTACACCAAGAACAATAACTATAAAGATGATAACAACAATAACTATATTTAATTCATGACAAATTTCAGAAAGTTAAGCATGGTAATAATATACGTACATGGCAATGTTACTGTGTTTGGTCTTGGCAGAATAGATCTGCTACGCTACTGCTGCGGCAGAGCAAGTACCGAGAATTGCTCCTGGCAATACATCCACAGACATGCTACTGTCAGCATGTAAGAAATACTGCTGCTGCACATATAACATACATGAAATTACCCCATTTTTAACATACATGAAGTTACCCCGTAGCAAACCTATATGGGTGGAGCTGGGGAAGGTGGAGGGTTTCTGAAGTGTGCTGCAACTGCTACAGCAAGCACTAGCCAAGTATTTGAATGTTGAGCAGCAAGCTCATTGGATGCTGATGTGAAAGAAACCAATCAGCTGTGCCATGTGAATAATGATGTGATTATGTCAGACTGAATTAGAACCTATCGGCCTGCGCCATCTAGAGTTTCATGACAGAACTTTGGATTAGCGTCCACACCAACAGACAATAACATTGTTTATTATCAGTGCTTGAAGTTATGTCAGGCTTGAGCTTTTTAAAGCCAGGTGGATTCTGATTGTCAATGATCTCATCATTCATTAGCTGGAAAAAAAAAATTTCTGAGAGTGATTCCAATGATATCATTCCTCTTTACTC